GCAGCCTCTGTGTATGTGACTCAAGACTACCCACGAAGGAAGCTTATTTGGGTAAAGGTGGTAGTGGGGCCCTCCCACCATTTTCTGGGGGACTCAGCTTCTGAGAGTGAATTCAGAGTCAAGGGTCACTCAGCGTTCATGTGTCCAGGTGACTTCTTGCCATCTACTCCTAGGTGGGGAAAGGTAAGGTTGGGGAGGGGAGGGCAGGCTCACACCTTGATCAAAAGGGTGATAAGGCCAAGTTTCTTCTTAAAAAATAAAAGGCGAACTGGATCCCCCACTTGCCCACTGACCTCTCCCTTCAGTCCCGCATGGTTTTACATCCCCTGGCATGTTGTTGATTTTGCCCATACAGACAAAATTAGATTGTGAATTTGGGTCTTTAGAATGCTTGAGTGTGGGCTTTAAGAGGCTAAGGGCTACCTGCCAAGTGGACCCCCTTCTCAAGAGTTGGGCAGGCATATCACCCTCTGGGAACCCCTCGAATTAGGCACATTTCTAGGGGCTCAGACCATGGCTGCTCTTGTCTCTACCACCTCATCCCAAGAAAAGGGCAAGAAGAGTAGGTTTACACAACAGGAAAATGGGTACAATTTTTTGTTGTACTGTAGCGGAGTTTGGTCTTGTATGTTGGAGAGTATTTTGGCACTGGAAGGAGAAGGGGAAGATGCGTAGAAACTATAAAGGTCCAGAGGACTCCGGAAGGCTTAAGCCCAAGTTTTCAGCTTGGGTGAATTTCACCTCCAGAATTCTCTCTGTGCTTCTTGGTCAGTGAAGACCCTGCCCTGAGTGCCAACTACATGCATACAGCCCAGTAGGAGACACACTGGGAGAGACAGAAACAAGGAGAGAGTGGCCGGTGCTTCAGGAGAGGTTTCCGAAGAATTATTTTCCATTATATTGTAAACTCCTTGAGGTCAGGGATTTTTTTTTTAAATTTTATATTTGAATTCCAATCACTTGGTACAATGCCTACCCCCCCCAATAGTAAACACTTAATAAGTACTTCTCAGAGTGAATTTTTGGATACCTGAAGATGCAGAGAACACACATAAAAAGGAAAGACTTAAAAATACTTACAGAGCAAGCTATCAACAAGTGCAGACTTTACACAAGCAGCTTAAACTCTGCCAAGTACCTTACATACATCGTTTCATCTGGGTCTCACAGCAACCTTACGAAACAAAGTCTCTGTTCTCTATGTCTCTAACCCTCTTCCCTCTCCCCTACCCTGCTCTCCCTTTTCTACTTCCCTTTCTCTTCTCTTCTCCTCCCTTCCCCTCCCCTCCTTTTCCTCTCTGCCCCTTTTCTCCTGCCCTCTTTTCCACTCCCCTCTCTCCTCTCCTGTCTTGTTCTCTCCTTTCTTCTCCTCTTCTCTCTCCTCCCAGAGGACCTTGTGTCATCTGTCACTATCTCTCCTCTCCCAAGCTCTGCCATCAAAACCATCCCTCACACATTCAAACAGAACTGAGCCACCATTCTCTCCACCAAAGAGGAGCATCTTATGTAAATACTGCAGCCTTGAATCCTGGGTTATATTTGGTCTGATTCTCCTGACTTTTTCTACTCTTCCCTGCTTCTCTTGTTGAAGGGTAGGACTTTGCACATAATGCTCGCTCAATAGATGTATTATCTATGTACCATAGGTATTCCTTTTAATGTTGTTATTATCACTCCCATTTTAAAGACGTGGAAAGTGAGGTAAAGTGATTTGTCCAAGAACATCTAGCTAAGAAGGAGCTGAGGCCAGATTTTTCTGACTCCAAATCCTGCCCTTGGCTTACTAAGCCAGAAGTTCTCAAAGTGGAGTCTGGGGATCCTTGAGGTTTCCTTAAACCCTTTTAGGAGGGTCAAAACTTTCTGTAAGGTAAAATCTATTTTCATAATAATATTAAAATGTTTTGATGTCTAATGTGGAAAATATTGATAGGTATAACCCACATAAGCAAAAGTTCTTGGGAGGTCCACAATTTATTTGAGTAAAAAGCAGGTCCTGAGACCTAACCCTAATTCCTGAGGCCAGAAAGTTTGAAAGCAACTATACTAAGCCATGCTGTTTCTTAAGTCCAGAGGGGATGGAGAGGAAAATAACCTTCGGTTAGTGTAGTTAAGCAGGCAACTTTCTGGAGTGAGTTTCTAGTTGGGTTTGGGGGTAAAAGAAATAGATTGGGTGAGAAGTATGCAAGATATATTCAGGGTCCTCTTCTTTTTTGTGAGAACACTCTTTGGGCTCTCAAGCTGGCAAGGGAATGAGAGGAACTAGGGGCTTCATGAAAAAGAAGTTTACAACTCCCTCTTCTCAGTGGCATCAAATTAGGGTCTCAGTCTTGGCAACTCTGACTAGGACGGGTGGTTCCTCCACTTCTATTTTGATCCCTAAAACAAAAGCATAACTAGTCTTGCTCTAGGGCTCTCTCCTGAGTTCCTCCATCCCCTCCACCCCATGCTACCCCCCAAACTATCTTCTTCCATCCTCCATCCTTCATCCTGGCTGTGCTGTAGAGCAGGAATTTGTGGGCCCCAGCCTCTCTCTCCCAGCTGTATCTCTGTGGGTAATGGGGCTGTGACAATTTTTCTAAGTCCTGATTGTTAATGTGTCACTGTACATTTCTCTTGGAAACATCAAAGGATGCCGTACATCCCCCACTGTTTGCAAACAGAAATCGAACAAGACAGTGAGACTGAGGGCCCCTGCCTGGAGCAGCTGGAATATAGGTTTATAAAATTACAGGGAATGCATAGCCACGGACATTACCTGCCGTCTGACTTCATTACAGGGGCAGGCCTGGTGTGGAAGTGTATTCAAACAATTTGGGAGATTAGGTTGTGACATCCTTCATTAGCCATTTGACATAAGCAGAAAAGAGTTTTTACTAGAAAAAGTCCACAAAGCAGAAAGCCAGAAGCTCAGAGAACCCATAAGCTGAAGGAAAAAAACAAACTGCTGAAATAGACAAAAGTCTATAAGGAAAAAAATAATTATATTTTACTTATTTACAGGCTAACCAACTGCTGAAATTCTAATCTAGAGGATGAAATGTACTCCCTAAAGGGATATTAGGTGTTGGGGGTGGTGATGGAAAGAAGTGGATACAGGACTCCTAGGTTTCATCTTTGCTCAGCAGCTGACTTACTATGACCTTGAACAAATCCTCTAAACCTTTATTGCCTTAGTTTCCCCATCTGTAAAATGGTGAAAATAACTAAATTTACAGTGCTTTGCAGTATTTTGGAAAGCAGACAGCTTTCAGGGAATTTTTTTTTGTTTTTGTTTTTTTAGTGTTTGAATTCCAATCACTTGGTACAATGCCTTTTTTTTTTCACAGTGCCATTTGAAATCAGAGTAACTAGACTATTCTAGGTTACATAACTAGGAATCCTGGTTTTGTTATGATATGATATGTGACACTGAGCAAATCACTTAACCTTTTGAGGTCTCAGTTTCCTCATCTATAAAGTGAGGAGGTTGGACTCCTTGATCTGCAAGGTTCCTTCTAGCTCTATCATTCTATAATCTGCAGTGGTTGAAAAACAGCAGGTGCACATATGTAGGATGTAAGCTCCTTGAGGACAGGACCTGGTTTTGTTTTATTTTGTCTTTATTGCCCAGTACAGGATCCTGTGCATAGTAGGGGCTTAATACATATCTGCCAAATTGGATTAAGTTTAATGTGTAGACTGGCTTATAGTTCAGCAATGAAACACAATAGACAGTGCTGGACTTGAGTCAGGAAGTATTTTGCCTCAGATACTTAGCTGTGTGACCCTAGGCAAATCACTTAACCCTATTTGTCTCAGTGTTCCTCATCTGTAAAATAAGCAGGAGAAGGAAATGGCAAACCACTCCAGTATCTTTGCCAAGAAAACCCCAAATGGGGTCACAAAGTATGGGACATGATTGAAGAACAACAACAAATGTAAAGTGCTTGGCCAAATTAAGGTAGCTATATAAATGCCTAGCTAAAGTATAGTATTCCATTTCATGCCCACATACACAAAATTTTCCCCCTCTCTTCTACATCCCTGCCACCAAGGTACTCCCTGCTACTCCAAGTCAGTCTTGACAAGGAAAGCTTAGAGAAAGGGGGAGAGGGCATAGGGGACGCTTGTCTATTCCCATCCTTCCACTAACTGTTTGTTAGCCCTTCAGCGGTGAGAAGACGGTTTCCTAAGGCCCTTGCCCACCCCAAGGCATGTTAGTGAGAGGTTAGATTTCAGGTCATCTCAGTGTCCAGGGAGGGCTCTACTCCCACCTCTGCCTGTGTGGTTTTCATTCAGCCTCAGAAGTGTATGTGGAGGAATGTGATAAGCCTCGAACTGCCCCAGACCCACCACCCCTACTGCCGGGTAGCGAAAGGGGGTGGGGGTGAGGGGGCGGGGGCGGGGGGAGCCAGAACCCTTCCTCATTCTCCGCACCCCAACTTCTCTGGTATTGATTCTCTAGGGGTTGGGGGCCAAGTTGGGACCTCGGGGAGCAATTGTGCGACCCAGCAGCTTCCGCCATGGGCCCAAGGCCCAGTACTCGGGCTTGCGAGGAGTTGGGGGAGGGGGAGTAGTGGTGAGGCTCCTAGCTGGGGACACGCAGCACTGCTGCTGCTGCTTCTTCTAGGGTTGCTTGGTCCGGCTCCCGGGCGGCCTCTGGGCCTCAGCTTCCCTCGGGCTGGGAGGGCGTTCAGGCAGCAGCAAGCAGTGAACGAGCCTGTTGTTTTTCCACGTCATTTGCTCTCCAATGTGTTATCAGGGCCCGCCCGGCCGCCGGGGTGAGGGTGGGGGTGGGGGTGGGGATGGGGGGGGAAAGGAGGGGGTACCGCCGGGGCTGAGCGGGTCCCTCCCTGTAACAAGCGATTGTGTGTTCTCGCTTTCCTTCGGAGGTGGTAAAGGAGAGAGGAGGGAGGGTGGGTTGGGACTGGAAAAGGAGGCCCTGGGGAGGGGCAGGGGTATTGCAAGGGGTGGTGGGAGCGAGGTGGGGGGGGAAATCCCTTCTCTCCCGTGGTCTTGTCCCGAGCTAATCTCCCCCTCGGAAGTACATGCCATTCCCGGCGCGGGAAGGGGTTAAAGGCCTCCCTGAGCTCAGAAACATGCAGGTGTCCCACGGTGCCAAATACAGACGCCTAAACTGTTTCCAGCTCCCCCCCCCTTCCTTTTTTTCTTTTTCTTCTTCTTTTTTTTTTTTTTGCAACAAGTCTGTGGGTCGGCAACGGGACAGAGGCAGTGCAGCAGCTCGTCGATCACAGGCATCGAAGCTGCTCTCTCCAACTTGCTGCCGGGGCCTCCAGCGAAGCTACTTTCTCTTCAAATTGAGGGGTGGGGTGGGGGCGGATTGCTCCCGAAACCTTTTCATCTGGACGGTCGAAAGCTGGGCAGCGTAGTCTGACTCCGGGGCAGTGGGAAAGCCTCGATGGGGTTGGGAGGGGCAGGTGTATCCCAGTCCCTCGGAGGAAAAGAAGTGAAATCCAGGGTGGGTGCTAGGCCAGCTCTAGCTGGGGGGAAGATTTTTTTTCTCCCTTGGAGAAGCCTCTGCGAGGGGACCATGTGGTCCTGGCGCTTGTGGGTCTGTTGGGGACCTCTAGCTGCCTTGCTGCTCCTGGAGATGCCACCCGTGGGCCAGGCATTGCCTCCTATTCGGTATTCTCACGCTGGGATCTGCCCCAACGACATGAACCCCAATCTCTGGGTTGATGCTCAGAGCACCTGCAAGCGGGAATGTGAAACGGACCAGGTGAGTCTGAGAGTCGGGATGGGGAAAGAAGCCCCACAATATCCTGGGGAGCAGGGAAACCTAATGAATCGAAACACTGGCCACAAATAATTTATCTACGTGTGGCTCGGCCAGTTTTGAACGTGGCTTGGTGACATTGTCCACCCTGAAGATAGCCTAGGTTAGATGGTTTCATGATTTTTTTTTTGACACGAACTTTGGAAAGTTGGGGAGAAATGGGAAAGGCCCTTCTCTACCTCCCAGAAAGATGCTTATCCATTGGGTCCTGACCAATGTTGGAACCTCTCTGCCTGCAGCTGCTTGCCTCCACCCAATGTCTAGTGGAGTCCGGGAAAAGATGTAGCCAATAATTAGTAAGTGGTGGGAGGCAGAACAGCACGGAGGTTAAAAAAAAAAAGCCCCTTGCTGACTTTACTGTTTTTGAGGGGGATCGTTCTGGGGGAGCCCTTGGCTTCCTCCCCAGCACAAGTCAATTTCTGAAACCAAAAGTAAGGCAATGGAAAAAGGCTGGTACTTGGAACCTGGAGACCAGAACTTGACTCTTGACTCTTACTTACCACTTCCTAGCTTTGTGACCCTAGGCAAGTCACTATTTCTCTGAACCTCAGTTTCTTAAACAGTAAAATGGGGGGTGATAATATTCACACTGCCTCTGACACAGGGTAGTGGGAAAGGCAGTTTGTTAAACTAAAGTTCTAGTGAATGTGAGCTGTTATTCCCTCCTAGCAACCCTCCTTTAGTTTCCATAGCAAAAATGAGGAAGTATAGAGTATGGAGGCAGTCTTGTAGGAGAAAGAGCCCTGAATTCGCAGTCACAAGACTGGAGTTTGAGTGTGGACTCTGTGTGTGACGTTAGGCAAATACTCTGTACCTCAGTTGCCTGAACTGTAATATGAAATTGTCCTAGATGATCTTTATAGCTCATTCCAGGGCAGTCAGGTGGTTCAGTGGATAGAGCGAAGGACCTGGAGTCAGGAAGACCTGAGTTCAAATGTGGACTCAGACACTTGCTAGCTGTGTGACTCTGGGCAAGTCACTTAAACCCAGATGGGGTCACAAAGAGTTGGACGACACTGAACAACGTAGTTCATTCCTCAATAAATTATATGAAACCTGTTCATCTTGGGTTCTTCTGGTCACTGCTACTTAGTTCTGCTACTAATTAGCTGTGTGACCTTGGACAAGTCATTGTTCCTTCTCCTTTACCTTATCTACATTGAGCCAAATTGATTGAGCCAAATGATTTCCAAGCTCTCTTTCAGCCCTAAATCTTATGATATCTAGGTGTCCTTTTGGCCTCCCTTCAGCTAATTCAATGATTCAGTGAGGGTCTGAATGGTAAAATGGGTGGGTAACTGGCCCAGAGCAAGGAAGACCTGGTTTTAAATCCTACCTCATACATATACTGGTTGTTTAGTGCTTGGCAAGTCATACAGTGCTTGGCACATAATAACTGTATGCTATTCAGCGATGTCTGACTCTCTGTGACCCTATTTGAGGTTTTTTGGCAAAGATGCTGGAGTGGTTTGTCATTTCCTTCTCCCTCTCATTTTACAAAGGAGGAAACTGAGGCAAACAGGACTAGGTGATTTGCCTAGGGTTGCACAGCTAGTATGTGTCTGAAGCCAGATATGAACTCACAAACATGAGTCTTCCTGACTCCAGGCTCAGTGTTCTATCTATTGTGCCTCCTAGCTGCCCTAGCACACAATAGGTGCTTAACAAATGCTTATTAACTTACCCCCTGACAACTTCTTGGATCTCTAGGTGACTTTCTCTGAATACATGTTATCAAAAGATACCAACCTGCATTAGTAGAGGAAGTTTTGCCTGAGAGTTAACCTATACCAATGAAATAGCAATCCCAATTCTCTATCCCTATCCCTATTATTCAATATGAAACAGTGGGAAACACTTTCTAAAGTAAGGGGACCTGCCTCTGACTCTTACTACCATCTCTGTGACTCTTGGCTACTCATTGAAATTCCCTGAGCCTCAGTTTCCCAATCTGCAAAGTGAAAGGGTTAGATAAATGACTTCTGATCTCTTCTGGTTCCAGATCTATGATCCTTTCAATCTGTTCAGAATATCGGGCTCCAGAAGCCAGAGACCATTGTCCACTGTTGACTAGCATTTATTTTGAAAAAATTTCTCTTCATGCCCCAGGCTGAAGTAGTTTCAGCCCAACTGACCCAGTGTGTACCTGGCCCCAAGGTCAGCAGATAGATGGGAGTCTTTGGCATTATGACCAAGTCCATGGATCTTGGTCTGAATTAACTAGTGTTGTCACTGGGAAACATGCTTTGCTTTCTGACCTTTGGGTGTGGGTAAAGAGCAACCCTCCCTTAACCCTCTTCCTTCACCACAGCCATTCCACTTGTGCCAACAGTCAGAATGGTAACAGAGACTTCCCACTTCCCAAGTCTCCGGCCCAGTTGGAACAATTCCCAAGACGAGTCAGTTGCATACTACATAAGTGTTTTGTGTTGGCTGTGAGAAATAACAGATAGAGATGAGAAGATGTATTTTCAGAGGCTGGGGACCTCTCGCCTGGCTTGTGGGTGGGCAAGAAGCCTGTTTGCTCTGTTGGTATGGATGTGGGCTGCATTTGGTCAATCTGACCCAATAAACAGGTAGTATTCAGGGATGGAATATAATGAACCAGAAGAAATCCCCCATAACCGCAGGGTCCCTGACTACTTTGTATGTATGTCCGTCTGTGAGTGTGTATACCTAGCATCACAGAGCTAAAATTGGAAGAGACCTCAAAGGTCATCTAGTCCAATCCCCTCATTTTATAGATGAGGAAACTGAGGTCCAGAATCACACAAACAGTAAGGTTCAGGAGTACGATTGGAACCCAGGTCCTCAGATTGCTGAAGCAGTACTTTTGCCACTGTGCCACATGAGTGGCTGAAGATTCACGGTGACTTTAGTTTCAATCCTGGGCCTCTGAGCAAAACTTAGCAGACGAACCGGGTCTGACCTATATTTAGCCTGCATACCCTCAGCAACCTCCTTTCACGGACCTCTAAGCCCTGAAGTCCATTCTTGAGTGGTAGCTCCCTGTGAAATTCAGTGGCCGTAAGGAAAAAGTGGCTTCCTTCTGCTTCTTCTCCTGGTGCCCTCTCTTCTGTGATCCCCCTTTCACCCAGCTGACTGTGGGCTGTCAAACCTGAGAACGTTCCATCTTGGGTCCAGTGCTCCCATTTAAGAGAGTCCTGGAGTCTATGGATAGATTTCAAGGGCTGCTTGATCTCGGATGGGGAAAATTTCTACATCTTTATTTCCACTAATGTCTAACTGAAATTTAGCATCTACTTTGATTAAAAAACAAAACAAAACAAAACAACATGTTATTCTGAGAAAGGGCCCATTGTTTTTAGCAGACTGCCAAAGGGATCCATAACATAAAAAAAGCTAAGAACTTCTAATTTAGAGAAAGGAAGGTTAGAGATAGGGACTAGAGCAATGATTTCACTGGCAGAGGGATTTACTTGGTAAGGAAAGTCCCCTTACCAATGAAGGTCAGCACTTATGGTCTTTGAGAGTTGTCTAGATCACCAGTGACTTGCCCAGGGTCACACAGCTAGTGTAGCTACCAGGCCAGCTCTCTCTCCACTGCATCATCTTTGTTATTATCTGGTCCACCCTTCTAATTTTACAGCTAAGGAAATAGAAGGCCAGAGAAGTATCATATTAGTAGCAATGGTAGAATTGGGTGTAGAGCCCAGGTCTCTTGACTCCAGGCCAACCCTTTTCCCACTGCACTACAGATGGCTTTCTTTAGAGAGGTCTGGAACTAATAAGGTCTGTTACCCTCAAAAGAGCAAAACAGTCATTCTTATTAGCAAGAGGGAAAAACACCTCCACCACCCATGAAGTCCAGTTGCAAAGAGGTGGGAGAGACACTAATACTTTTCCCCTCTTAGTTGAAGTGGCATTTCAAAGGGGTTGAAATCAAGGCAGGAATGAAAAGCTTCAGGTAGTACGTGGGGTGCAACTTGTTTATGGGCCTGGCTCCTGGACATAGCAGGCAAGGCACAGAGGGATTAGGAGCTCTGCCTGCCCAGTAAGGATGATGTGTTATTGTCGGAAAAAGCACGCAGTGAACTCCTTGATTGTTTCTGCTCCAAGAGTGTGTTGCTAATTTCGAGGAATTAAACTAATGCCTTCTGTGCGTGACTCCAGAGAAAATCAGAGGGGATTACATACAGGTCGGTAAGTCCTCGCTTATGCCCTGCCTGACCTTTGCTATTGGGTGGGATTTACTGTGGCTGTTTTCTGGGATGGATTATTCTCTCTCTCTCTCTCTCTCTCTCTCTCTCTCTCTCTCTCTCTCTCTCTCTCTCTCTCTCTCTCTCAGAAATTCAAGCCTTCATAACAGACATGTGTAAGTAACCAGATTGAGCTGTCACACACCAGGTCATCCCTGTCCTATGATTTACTTAATAATAATAATAATGATACCTAGCATTCATATACCATCTCAAGGTTTACAAAGTACTTTATACATTATCTTGTTTGATCCTCACAATAACCCTGGGAGGTAGGTGCTATGATTATCCTCATTTTATAGATGAGGAAACCGAGGAACAGAGATGTTAAATGATTTGACCAGGATCATACAGCTAGCAAGTGTCTGAGGCAGGGTTTTAACTCAAGTTTTCCTGACTCCAAGTTTGATGGTCCATGCACTGAGTCACCTATCTGCCTTAATAACACGGACAACTTTCCCTAAGGCTTCAATTATTTCATTGATCTCAATTTCATTGATTACCAAAATGGGTAAGTTAAATACTTAGGCAGCCCCTCAAGGGATAGAAACTAAATCTTGGGATGCCTGGCCTAGCATCTTTCTAGCTGTCAATTCTGTTTTTCTCTTTAAAGACTGGGATGATTTGTGTTTCATACATTTATTTACTCATTCATTCTTCAACAATCGTTTATTAAGTGCCTATTGTACACAGAACACTGTGCTGGGGAAACTCAGACACAGTTTACAGCGTCATAGAGTCTAAATTTTATGAGCCCGTTAAGCAGAATTCACTATTAATCAGGTCTTAGTCTAATTCCTCGAAATTAGCAACACACTCTTGGAGCAGAAACAAAGAGAGATTTCATGGCATTTTTTTGACAAAAACACATCGTACTTACTGGGCAGGCGGGAGCTCCTAATCCCATGCTATGGAAGTAAATCCGGGAGTGAGTCCCATGAACAAGGAGTAGGCCACGTACTACCTGAAGCTTTTCATTCCTGCTGTGATTTCAGCTCCATAGAAATCCTGGATAACGACAAATTTTGTAATGTTCATTCACCCTAGGCTTAGGGTCACCTTTCCCATTCTCTTCTAGGAGAATCATAGATTTAGAGCTGAAAGGGACCTTAGGCTACTCCTTCATAGTTATTAAGCATCTGCTATGTGCTAGGCACTGGGCCAGGGATCCCAAGACAAAAATAAAACATCCCCTGCCCCAGGATGCTTACATTCTCTCTCCCTGCTGCCCCTCCTTTCTCCCAACCTTACATTCTAACCCCCTTCTGGTTGGCTCCTTCCAGGAGTGTGAGACATATGAGAAATGCTGCCCCAACGTGTGTGGCACCAAGAGCTGCGTGGCTGCTCGATACATGGATGTGAAGGGCAAGAAGGGCCCCGTGGGCATGCCCCGGGAGGCCACGTGTGACCACTTCATGTGCCTTCAGCAGGGCTCTGAGTGTGATATCTGGGATGGCCAGCCTGTCTGCAAATGCAAGGACCGATGTGAGAAGGAGCCGAGTTTCACTTGTGCTTCTGATGGCCTCACTTACTATAATCGCTGCTACATGGATGCTGAGGCATGCTCCAAAGGCATCACGCTCACTGTAGTCACGTGTCGCTATCATCTCACCTGGCCCAATACCAGCCCCCCACCACCAGAGACCACTCTTAGTCCTACCACGGTCTCCCCAGAAACTCCCATGGTGGATGTGGCAGCCCCAGCCCTGCTCAATCACCCTCACCACCAGTCGGTCCGTGTAGGTGAGACAGTGAGCTTCCTCTGTGACGTGGTGGGCCGACCTCGGCCAGAGATCACATGGGAGAAACAGCTGGAGGACAGAGAAAACGTGGTGATGCGACCAAACCACGTGCGTGGCAATGTGGTTGTCACCAACATAGCCCAATTGGTCATCTACAATGCCCAACCCCAGGATGCTGGCATCTATACCTGCACGGCTAAAAATGCTGGGGGGCTCCTTCGTGTCGACTTCCCTCTGTCTGTGGTGCGGGGGGAGGTGTCAGTTTCAGAGCATGGGCCAAATGGGACGGCCTTCCCCATGAACGAATGCCTGAAGCCGCCTGATGGGGAGGACTGTGGGGAAGAGCTGACCCGTTGGCACTACGATGCCCAGGCTAACAACTGCTTCACTTTCACCTTTGGCAATTGCTACCACAATCACAACCACTTTGAGACCTATGAGGCATGCATGCTGGCGTGCATGAGTGGACCCCTGGCTGTGTGTGGTCTGCCTGCCCTGCAGGGCCCCTGCAAAGCGTATTCCCCTCGCTGGGCGTACAACGGGCAGACTGGCCAGTGCCAGTCATTCGTCTATGGAGGCTGCGGGGGCAACGGGAACAACTTTGAGAGCCGAGAGGCTTGTGAGGAGACTTGCCCCTTCCCTCGGGGGAGCCAACGCTGTAGAGCCTGCAAGGCCCGGCAGAAGCTGGTGACGAGCTTCTGCCGGAGCGACTTTGTCATCCTTGGCAGAGTCTCAGAGGTGACGGAGGAGCCAGATTCTGGACGAGCCCTCGTGACTGTGGACGAGGTACTGAAGGATGAGAAGATGGGGCTGAAGTTCCTGGGCCAGGAGCCATTGGAGATCACCTTGGTGCATGTGGACTGGGCCTGCCCCTGCCCCAATGTCACTGTCAGTGAAGCACCACTCATCATCATGGGAGAAGTGGATGGCGGCATGGCGGTGCTTCGGCCAGATAGCTTTGTAGGGCCTTCTAGTGTCAGGCGGGTCAGGAAGCTGCGGGAGGTCTTGCACAAGAAGACCTGTGAGCTCCTTAAGGAATTCCTTGGCCTTCACTGACCCTCTTCTCTCCCTGTACCACTCCTCCCTAGTCCTTTTTCGTCCCTTGCTCCCTCCCCCAAATTATCGTCTTGAGCATAAATACACCCGGCATAGTTAGGACCAACTCTGAGTCTTACTTAGGCCAATAAGAAAACTCCAAAAAAAAAAAATCAGTCAGGAGCAAGCCACCATTTCCTGAGGCTACTCCTGAGAAGCAAATCTTTAGTCCGGTTAATTTTGTTTAGAAAGGGGTCAGCTTCTCCTCTAGCCTTTCTCCAGCCAGGTGATTTAAGAGGCAGTTTACTGATGTAGCCAGTTTTCTCTGGGGGTCTCCTCTAACCTTCCTTGGTACCTTTTGCTCCTATTCTATTATGCCTAAAAAAGGCAGACCTGAGTCTCATTCTGGGTTCTGTAACAGTGAGAAAGAAAGTGTGTGTGTGTGTGTGTGTGTGTGTGTGTGTGTGTGTGTGTGTGTGTGTGTGTGTGTGTGTGTGATAGTCACAGAAAAGACTAGATAAGCTGGAAGAAGGGAAAGAAAGAGAATAGGGAACAGTTTGTCCTGGCCTGCTGTGGCCTTGTTGGGGGCGGAAATACCTTGAGTTAAAATGGGTGTGGCTGCTCCAGGCAAAAATCCAGGATTGGTGGAGGGGATACTGGAGGAGGGGAGAGAGTCCTCCACTTTGAGAGCAGAACCTAAAACATGCCCTCAACTGAAGGCTGATGGGAGCTTTGGAGGGCAGGCCATCCCTCCCTCCACCTGGTGGGTGACCCAGTTTTCATATGTGGACCAGGTGTCTTTGGGTGGGAGCTAGTCTGTGCTTTGGAAAAACATACCCTGGGGTGCTTAATGTTACAAAGACATCAACAGGGTGCTTTCCTTCAGCTTGGCTGCTAGAGAGGGCTGGGGAAGCAGACCCAGTTCTGTTCTGTTCTATCTCTGGCTACATCCCTGAAGGAAAGGTAAACAACACCCGAGAAATCTCTAGCAGAGGCAGGGCAAAAGGGCCTGTTGCTTAGTTCCTGATGCCCGTCACCCGATTATCCAGCTTGTGAAGAGCTCCATTTCTGTACTGCCTCCCCAAGACTCCCCCAGAGGTACACTAATCTTAGCAAAATTAATTTCCACAGAGTCTACAGAACATCACTTCAGCCAGTCCATGCCAAGCCCCAAACCCCAAAATGGAGACTGGGGGACTTTAGGACATCACCTTCTTTTAGGAGATAACTGGGCAAGTTTCAGGCTATCATCTCTATATTAGTGCAGGTTTCTAGTTGGGGAAGTCCCCTGCCTGGATATAGCAGCCTTAAGTGACACTATCCTCATTTCATCCCAACCCATTCCAGGCACAAGTGTAGGGGCATACATATCAGACCTAACCAGAGCAATTCTTGGAGACTTTCCTCTTAGATACCATTTTTTAAAAAATCTCCTTCCATAGGCAGGAAACTGAGGCATGCAGTTTCCTTCCTTCTCCCAAACAGGAGTCCTGAGATAGATGTCGTGATTTTTTTCTGGCTGAGAGTTTGGGCCTCTCTCCAGTAGCTTGTTCGGTTAGGAAAGTAAATGTGACAAAAATTACATTCTCCAGATTCTATCATCTTGGTGTGAGTACTTGGGTGCTCCTAGGTGCACATGACTTAACTATCACCTGTATCTAGAAAATGCTCCTTTTTTGTCCTTTGATTATCTGCACACACACACACACACACACACACACACACACACACACATGCAGTTTCTGAACATGTCGAGATCAGGAGCCACTTTGCTTTCCTATTCTGAAAATGACATGGGGGACAAAATCCATTTCTAGATAAAGATATGGGAGAGGAAAAGAGGGAGAAGGGAGGAGGAAGGGGAGAGGAGCCAGTCTCTTTGAAGGGATGGAAATGTTGCTCACTGCTACCATCTGGTGGTCAAATCAGGAATCAGTAGGACATGGAATCAGAGCTCAGTCTAGAGAAAGAAATTGAGACCCAGAGAAACCTTGTCCAAGGATATTAGCCATGAGTGCCTGACTTCATAGTAGGTGCTCAATAAGTGGTTGGCTGATTGATTATTGATTAAATGAGGATCTGAGATTAGAACAGGAATCACAAGAAGTCAGGGTCATCCCTCTGTTGTTGGAGCTTAGAATACGAAGCTATTCTGCCTAGCCAGACTTCAGAAATCATCTCAGGTCATTTTCCAGGAAAGTCACCTCAGATGATTTATCACGGCCAGTCACCATGAGATGACGTCACTTGATCATGTAATTTCTCCAACGCAGCACACCTAAAGGAGTGACCACTTATTCCTTAACTAGCATCTGTTATCTCATCTTCATTTCCTTCTGCTGAACCTTAAACAACAAAAAGTTGAACAGTGAAACATGTCTGAGTAAACAGATCACCACACCACACACACCCCTTCCTCTTCTCACCATACCCCTCACCCCTTTGCCTCATCAGGAGAGCACAGAGGGGAAGACCTGAGACCCCAACCATGAGAGGGTCACTGTGGGGAGTTTCTGTGTCTTTCCTGAGTGTCTGGAGAGAGAAGTATAATTAAAAGCTCAAAATATTTATGTCTGTTCTTGCTATTTGAATTGGGGGCTGAAAGATATGACATTTTTTCCGTGGTCACTTTAGAATGGTAGAGGGGGCTGACAAGGGCTTAATCTCTTTCCCTTTGTGACAATAAGGCATTTGTTTCCAAGGGCTCCTGCCATGGTTGTCCTGAGGACTTTGGCATCACCAAGAACACTGAAAGGAAGGAAAAATGAGTTTTATCTGGATGAACAAATGACTACTCAAGTAGGTTTTTCAATAGGTAGACTTTGGAGAGATAAGATGACAGAGTACCTGGGTTTGGGAACCGTAGGGAAGTCAGGTCTGCCCTAGTCTCTGCGATGATGCTTTGTGAAGTCCCCAAACTCCCGCCTTCCATGCTCTGGAGTCTCGGGACTGCATTTTTGTCACTTACTACACATCATGGCCTCTCCATTCATTTGGGCTGCCTCTCCATAGACCCTTCTTTAAAACAAGAGGAAGAGGGGTTACATGAAACCGTTCACACTATTCCTACCTCACTGTCAATTAATTCTACTCTTTCTTCCTTGTGGGCTTGGGAGTTTTTCCACAGTAGAGTGGAACATATTTTGGAATACCAGAACCTATCATAAAGGGAAATCTTAATTAGATCTTCAGTGAGTAGCCTGGAGACATTGGGTAGGGATCTAGAAAAGGGAGAGGCTCTCAAAGAGAAGTGGAGACATCACATGTGATAAACTTCTCCTGTGTCGCAATTTCACCCTGGGCCAACCCTGTCAGGGACATTCTTATCATCTGCCTCTCTTGCTGAATAGGTTCTAACCAGAGCTCTTATGAGCAGGTGAGACAGGATTCTGGCCTGTCTTTCCCCACTCAACCTCTTTTTTTCTAAAAAGGCAGAAGTTATTTTTTGTCCAGGGAACATCTGGGCATCAGAACACCTGATAAAAGGCTGTAATCAGGTTGTGCAGGAGAAGGTCACCTTGAAGGAACTCAAGATTTCCCTCTGTCTCTTTTGCTGGGTCTTTGTCCAGGTCATGCCTGCTAAAGGTGGGTATCCCCCAGGACTCTGCCCTCAGCCTTCTCTTATCCCTCTAGATCATTTCACTTGGGCTTTGGTGTAATGGAGGGAGTTCCAGACCTGGAGTCAGAAAGACCCACCTTTTTTTTTTTAATTTTGGTGAGGCATTCAGGTTTAAGTGACCTGCCCATGTAAGTATCAAGTGTCTGAGGCCAGAGACTTATCTTTTATAGTTGAAATCTGGCCTCAGACACTTCCTAGCTGTGTGACCCTGGGCAAGTCACTTAAGCCTGTTTGTCTCAGTTTTCCTTATCTGTCAAATGAGTTGGAGAAGGAAATGGCAAACCACTCCAGTATCTTTGCCAAGCAAACTCCAAATGGTCACACAACTGAAAAACAACTGTACATCTCATCAACTCCCATAGATTCAGTTATCATCTCTATGCTGATGATTCTCCAATCTACTTATTCAGACCTAACTCCTCCCCTAATCTCCAGTCTCATGTCTCCAACTACCTATTTAAAAAAATTTTTTTTGCTTTTTTTTAGTGGGGTTAAGTGACTTGCCCAGGGTCACACAGCTAATAAGTGTCAAGTGTCTGAGGCTGGATGGCTATCCACTTCACTACCCAGCTGCCCCTCCAATCTACCTATTCAACATCTTGAAGTGGATGTTCTGCAGTCACCTTAAACTCAACATGCCCCAAACTGAACTCATCTTTCTTCCCAAACCCTACCCCTTTTCAAATCTCCTTATTCTTCCCAGGCTTGAATCTAGGTGTTATCCTTAACTCATTATTGTCTCTCATCCCCCGTATCCAATTTATTGCCAAGGGCTGTTGATTTTTACCTTTGCAGCATCCCTCACATGGGCTCCCCTTCTCTCCTCCTACCTGGTGCAGGCCTTACTCAGACTAAAGCAGTAGTGTGCTGATTGATATCCCTGACATAAGCCTGTCCCCACTCCAACCTGTCCTCCACTCAGCTGTCAAATTCATCTTCCTAAAGTGAACATCTGACCATGTCGCCCCCTGCCCCCAACTCAATAAACTCCAGTGACTCCCTATCAACTCTAGGCTCAAATACAAAAATCTGCTGGTTGGTACTTAAAATCACTTCTTAACTTGGCTCCCTCTCTACTTTTCCAATCTCCTTCCACACACACACACACACACACACACACACACACACACACACACACATATACATACATACATACATACACACTAAGCAATCCAGTGACACCAGCCTCTACTTTTTCTTACAAAAATCTTCATTGCCTGACTCTGAATGTTTTTGCTGGCTGGACCCAGTCTTGCCACTCAACCCAGATGGCTTCAGAGGAGAAAGTAAGCTGGTGACTTTGCACAGCCCTCCTTCGCTTAAATCCAATTTACTTGCATGTCATGGCATCACCTCCCTGATGTCAAGGTCCTCTTAGAGAACAAAGGACAAGCAATAACCCAGGGTCTGGAATGCTCTCTCTCCTCATCTCCCCCTCCTGGCTCCTTTGGGTTCCTTCAAGTCACAGTTATTATGCCACTTTCTACAGGAAGCCTAACCCTCTTAATTCTAGTGCCTTCCCTGTCTTGATTATTTCCTGTTAATTCTACAGTTGGTTACACGTGGTCCCCCATTGGACTGTGAGCTTCTTGAGAGTAGGAACTGTCTTTTACCTTTCTCTGTATCCTCAGTGCTTAGCACAGTGCCTGGAACACGGTAGGTACTTAATAATTCATTCATTCATGGTCTTGTTGGAGTATCCAGCTTCAAAATGTGAGTTGAACCCGCCAACTGTATTCAATAAAAACATTCAATTCAATACAATTCAAGCCACACATGTAATAAAAGCATTAAAAGGAAAAGGCATTTAATTAAAACAGAATAGCAGGAAAATCACAAGGAAATGAACAAGGTAGTAAGCATTCCTTAAACCTATACACAAATTACTTCCTTCTCCCTAGATTCCAGGGGAATATCGGTCAATTCTCCATTTAATGTCTCATCATCCCAAACATAGCAGGAGAGAGACACAGTCATTTCAAACTCATCCCTCTATTGTTGGAGCCTAGAGTACAAAGCTATTCTGCCTGGCCAGATCCCCCTTTAGGCTTGGTGTTTTTGACTTCTTATGGCCAGACTAATACTGAAGCTTCCATTAGGGCCTCTTGAAGGCCATTATCATACTCTAGAGTCTAGGCAATCGATCAACAGCATTTTGTGTGTGCCAGACTCTATTCTAAGTCCTGGAGGTACAAAGACAAAAATGAAATAGTCCTTCCCTGAAGGAGCTACAGTCTACCAGGTCTAGATGGGATGACAGAGCTCAGCATCCCCAGGTCCATACCATTTGCTTGTATTTCATTGGATGGTTCTTTCTTTGGCTTCCTTCTCCATTGCCACCCACATTTCTGCTGTGGGCTGTGACTAGACCACCCAAAAAAGGGGGAGGGGCAGTTAGGTGGTCCAGTGAATAGAGCACCAGCCCTGGAGTCAGGAGGACCTGAATTCAAATCTGGCCTCATACACTTACTAGCTGTGTGACTCTAGGAAAGTCATTTAACTCCAATTGCCTTCCCCTACCCCCTATAATAATAATTGAAAAAAAGAAAGTACAGAGTACACACTGGGTGATGTTACCAGACTGTGGGCTTGTGCGCAGCCTTCTGGGAAATGAAATACAGAGAATGATTGAGGTTCTTTGGGCATATCCCTTATATTTTTGATGGGAAGTGAGGAGGGGAAGGCCTATACGATCTGTGAGTGTTTTGCCATCCCTGTGCATCTCAAAGAAAGGAACAAAGTAGCTAAAGTATTGTATGGGGCCCTCATTACTAGCCCCTGTATCAGGGTCCTCAGCCTGAGATAGAGCAGAGGGTACAAAGGGAATTGGGAATTCCCCAAAGGATAATGAGTCATGTGCATACCTCAGTGAGAGGAGTAGCTTACATTATACAGTTTTCTGAGGTGGGGACGAGTAGATACAATGGTCTGAGTTTCCAGACACTGTCCAGGGTGTGCATTACGAAGATATTTCCAAGGGCTGCTTTGAAGAAGGTTTCCACACTTCTCACTCAAGGAGATGTGGAACCAGGTCAACAGGAAGGAATGAAGCTTTTACGTTCTGAGCCCCCATCATAAGGAGGTGCTAGGAAGAGAATGTAAGTATGATAGATCTCTCTGGCTTCCTATGACTTTCTAAGGACCTCTCAGTTTGGACATAAAGACTAGGAGACAAGAAGATACTGGGTTTAATCCTGCTAGGGTATGAGATCAGGTATGCCTCAATTTTAAAAAAGCAGTCACAACCAGAAACTTTGTTCCATGTTTTACTTAAGATGCCAGGAAGTCCAGAAGGCACAATGGGCTTCTCTCTGTCTCTTCAGCCCCAAAGACTCTGCAGTTTGGCTGGAGAGAGCCATGCAATGGTCTTTCCTACATCACTTGGGCCAGAATATCACATCACTCTAGATGTGGATGAAAGCCGAGAGAATCTTCCCCTTTTCTCCCTAGGGAAGGACTCTATGAGAAAAATCCAGTGCTTAACATAATTACATTCTCCCTAGTGTTAAGTAAAATCCCAGGATACCAAACCACTAAGCAGAATATTGAGGGCTCAAGCCACTGCTTCTCCTGTCTTTCTAAAAGTACAAAGGCTGAAGGTGATATCCTCAGCTTATACTTTATCCCATTGGCCCTTGGGGACATACACACTCACTCACACACATAGCACACTTACATACACAAGCAACTTTGGTGAGACTCCCAACCCCTCCTTTCCCCCTGTCCCTCAGCCCAAGATTCTACACAATCCGAGTACCCTACTGGACAGCAAGAAGTAATGAGCAGCCCAGCCTTGGCTGTCTCACTGGGCCACTGCCCTAAGCTTCGCAGGAATAAGAGGAACCAGGCCATAGCTCAAAGGAGATGAATTCCAGGGATAAAAAGACACAGGACTCAGCTCTATAACTAGCAGTTTGAAGGCCTGGAGCTAGTGGC